CTGCATCGAGCAGAGTGGATAGGGGTTTGGATGCTACTGCGCAAGCATTCCCTTCTGCTTATTCCCCTCTTACGCTTTTGCACTCTTACCGTCCCGTTCCAACTTCACTTTTATCCCCCCCAGTTTTCAACCCTCCGATTATTGGCCCTCACCTAATATCCTTTGCTAGGCGTTTATCTTCTAATTTCAACTCACATGTGAACGCAGAGCGTCACTCCTCTCCTGTCGACAAGCCCATGTCCAACCAAGCGGTCCATTCCAGTTCATCGGCTTCCATTTGGAGCCCTCGATCCTCCTTCAGATTGGCAAGCCTCAATGTACGCACATTGCTACATATCGGTCAGCAGGCAGGTCTTGCCTGAACATAGGTGACCCTCTCGATCGATATCTGCTGCTTATCGGAGACCCGCATGCAAGACGAGCTCTGTGCTCACTCTGCGAACCCATTCAGGGGACGCAAGCAGTATTTTCTCATTGCGCCTATCCGGTAACGATGCACCTTTGAGCACCGGCCAAGCCGGTGTTGGTATTGCCCTGAGTCCCCGGGCTGAAGCTGCTCTGGTTGATTGGATTCCAATCAGTAGCCGGATGTGTGCGGTCCGATTGGCTGGCTCGTTCAAAGCTTCGAAGTCACGTGGGACCAACAGGTGTCTATTCATCATCGCTGCCTACGCGCCCACAAACTGTAGCGGTGATTCGGTAAAGAACGTCTTCTACCGCCAACTGATCCAGCTCCTTCGCCACAGAAGAAGCACGGACACTGTTGTTCTGGCGGGGGGATCTGGACGCACAATTTGGAAAGTTGTCCACTGATGAAATGCGTATTGGTAGTCAGCACGGTGTAGGTTCCCGTAATGATAACGGTGAGCGGTTACTTCATTTGTGTGAGGATGCTCGCTTATCTCTTGCGAGCACTAACTTCTGACACAGCACTCGCCGGAGAGTGACTTGGTGCGCACCAGCCTTGGATGCAAATCGATCACATTGCTATTAGTTACCGCTGGAGAGGCTGCATCCAGTACTGTCGCTCCATTCGGAGCACATGTGTGGACACCGATCATGCACTTGTATGTGCTGACCTGCGGTTGCGTTTTGGCGGACGTCCACGACGACGCTGTGAGCGCATTGACACCAGCCAACTGACAAAGCCAAATGTTCTGAATGCCTGTCAAAGTACGCTGATATGCGAGTTGAATAAGCGCTCATTGGAGACAACTGAAGGTCACTGGTCACATGTTCACCAGACCTTACTAGCAGCAGGCAAATCCTCATGTGGTAAGTCTGATAGCCAACATGGACATTGGGTCTCTCCGCAGTCTTTGGAACCTGCCGATGCTCGCCGGCATATCCCGGCTGGAAGCGAACACAATGAAACTCGCAAAGAGCTCCGGGAAAGACTTCGCGCTATCCGGAAGAGAGTGCGAATCTTGGTGGTCTCTTCGTGTATCAGAGATGGAAGTGGCTGGGCCACGTGTTACGCATGCCAGCCCACCGACTCCCTCGATGTACGTTGTTTGCGCGCCGGGGGTGTGGATGGAAGACGAGGAGGGTTGGCCAAGCGATGACTTCGTCGAGAGGAATGAAGACCGTCACTTCTGAGCTGGCCTCGGTTGGTGCGTCTCGGCTCCCTGGTTGGGGTCCGAAAGACGATGAACACGTTTGGTTGGACACACTTGCTGACATGGCAAGGAGCCGACCTCAGTGGCATTCGTGCTGTGAGTTTCTTTGTCCCACCCCATCCCTCAGCCTCCCCCTCCAACCAGGATCTCATTATTTAGCCTTATATAATTTTGCATAGCATTTTTTTGATGCACAGTAGCCGGATAGTAGCTTACCAGAACGATGCCCATCCGTTACCGGTAGCTCAGCCGGCTTGCACCAGTTGCATTCTTTATTGCTCGTTTTTTTTGTGTATATTGCGTCACAGTAACTGAGGTGTTCCCCACCTCTGGCTAACGTGTATGATGATGATGATGATGATGATGGAAGTGGCCGCTGCCCTTGGTAACCATCGTAAGTTATTCCGTCTGATACGGGAAACGGGCAGCAGGAGACCTGGTGTTAGTGAAACCATACGTGACGAGAGTGGACAGCCTATCCACAATTTGTCAAAACGTTTGGAGTGTTGGGCTGAGTATTTTGAAAAGCAATTTAATCGGTCAGAATCGTTCGATTCCTCGCCGGCCAATGATCGCTCTGACCCGTGGGCTGTCCCTTTGGATCCATCCTCTCGCTCAGAAGTCGAACGTGAGATCAAACCGTTGATGTTGAGCAAAGCAGCGGGACCAGATGATCTTCATCCAGCCCTCTTCAAATTCGGAGGCTGCTCTTGTTGATGCTTTACATGAATTACTAGTGAAATTGTGGGAGCAGGAGTCTGTCCCAACCGTATGGAGCCGCTCCGCTATTATTCACATCATGAAAGCAGGCTGGCTTTCGAAATGCGGCAACCATAGAGTATTCCGTCTGAACTCCATCGCCTCCAAATTACTCGCCTCCATAATGCATTACAGATGATTGGCGCTCGTGAAAGCCAGATTCGGGAGGAGCAAGGCGGGTTTCGTCTTGGCCGTGGCTGCATCGACCACATCTTCCCCTTGCGTCAGTTGTTGGAGCACCATCATACATATTGGCAGCCCACCGTAGTCGTGTTCCTCGGCATCAAAGGTGCCTTCGATTCGCTTGATTGATGTGGCCTTTGGAATTGTCTACTCAGAAAAGGTGTGCCCGAGAAAAATGTAAATATTATCCAAGCATTATATGCGCGTAGCTCGGGCAGAGTGAGGGCTTACGGCAAGCTGTCGTCGCCCTTTACTATCTCCGGCGGTGTGAGACAAGGATGCCCGCTGTCACCTTTCCTCTTCAACTTCGCTATTGACGAAGTCATGGAGATTGCATTTACAAGACATGAAATGGAAGTTGTGGAGCTACTCCCAGGCGAACGACTTCTTGACTTGGAGTATGCTGACGATATTGCCCCTAATCTGTGACAGCTCCCAGACGTGACAAGCCGCGCTGGACAGATTGGCACTGGTTGTCAGCCGCTCCGGGCTTTGCTTTGCACCAGCAAAGTGCAAAGTGTTCCTCCAAGATTGGCAAGGACCGCCTCCTTCGCTGACCCTTGTTGGGGATCAGCTAGAAGTCGTTCAGAAATTCAACTACCTAGGAAGTTGTATCGGCGCCCTTGGGATTGAAGATGAGATCACGAACCGTATATCAAATGCTCGAAGTGCCTTTGGTTGCCCTCGCCACCTATGGCGACGGCGCGACATCACTCTCGCCCTGAAAGGTAGAGTGTACAATGCTGCGGTACGTTTGGCCCTACTGTAAGGTTGCGAAACCTGGCCCCTAAGATCGGCGGACATAATGAGGCTAGTTACGTTCGACCATCGGTGCCTTCGCAGTTTGGCTCCCATCTGGTGGGAACACCGCGTGAGTAACGAGCGTGTTCGATGCCTTGTTTACGGCCCAGAAAAAGGAACTGAACCGCTCAGCACCGTCATTTCACGCACCAGGCTCCGATGGCTGGGCCACGTGTTGCACATGCCAGCGCACCGATCCGCGACATGCGTTGGTTGCTTACCGAGGGTGTGGATGAAAGAAGAAGAGGGGTGGCCAAGCGATGATTTGGTCGAGAGGAATGAAGGCCCTCACTTCGGAGCTGGCATCGGTTGGAGTTTCACGGCTCCCTGTTTGGGATCCAAAAGACGATGAACGCGTTTGGCTAGATACATTTGTTAGCGTGGCAAGGAGCCGACATCAATGACGTTGTTGTTGTGAGTTTCTTTGTCCCTCTACATCCATTTTAGCCTCCTCCTCCAACCACGATCTCATTTCGCAGCGTAATATAATTTCACATAATAACTTTTCTTGTTGCCTAGTAGCCGGCTGGTAGCTTACCGGAACGATGCCTAACCGTTGCTGGTAGCTCAGCTGGCATGCAACTGTTGTATTTATTTTCCTTTTCCTTTATGTATTGCGGCACAGTAGCTGAGGTGTTTCCCACCTCTAGCTAACGTGTATAATGAGTGAATGGGCGGGCTGTTATTCTTCTTCACATTTATGTCTTGTTAATTTGTGTTTATATCACCTTCCCTTTTCTCTATCCTTGTTGCGGCACATTGTTGCACCCCACTGCTGTTTATCCTCGCGGAAGTTGCCTTGATCGCATTGTTTGATTGTTCTGTTTACTCTCATTCGAGTTCTCTCAGTGGGTGCGCAACGTATTTGTCATCTTATTGTAGACCATTAGAATCTCGCTAAGTCCGCATGTCTTTTGTTTTTATCTTTATGTCGTTGGTAGGTGGATCATATGTTAGTTAACTTATGGCGTAAAAGTGACCCACCGATTTCTTTTTTTGTTGTCCTCTCCAACCCTCTCGCTCCATTGCTATGTAAAATCATCTCTACTTGGTACCGTGACTCGCACTGAAGTAACTATCGACAGTCTTACGTCTTTGCTCAATAGGAATGAAGGCTCTGACTTTGTAATAGGCCTCGGCTGGAGCCTCCTGATTCCCCGGTTTGTGTTTGAGAGTCGCTAAACGCGTTCGGCTGAAGAAACTTGTTGACGTGGCGATGAGTCAACATCATTGGCCATGTGTTATGGGTCCCTTTGTCCCTTCCCATCCGGCTCAGCCTCCCCTTCTAACCACAATCTTGGTCAATGCATAATAATAAAAGCACCTTATGTGTTCCTATTTTGATGTTTGTACTATCTGTTACTTTGTATTTATTCGAATACCGTGTATTACGGCACAGTATTTGAAGTATTTCTCACGTTCAACTGACCTGTAGTACTTTTAGTCGCTAGAATATTCTCTTCTCTACATCACAGTAGTTCTGTCTGCTACCTTGTTTGCTATATTTTGAGCTCATTCTCTGCTCTTTAAAATTAACTCATGGGCACTTTACGGTTTGGTACTTTTGGATGCAGTGGTCATGTTTCTCCTATTAGATATTATAGTGTGCTTTTCTAGTTTCCTTTGTTGATTTTCCAGCCCGTCCTGAGGAATCAGAAGATACCCCACGTATAGCTTTTCCGGTCGTTCGTGATACGTCTTCGTCGTTTCATTCGGACTTGCAGCAGGACAAGAAAAGCGGTTTGGTTAAGGGCGACGAAGAACATCGTCAAGTTGTGGACAATTCACGCAACGTTAACAGAAGCTGGCAATTTGCTTGTCTGCTACGAAGCGCATTCGCCGATCCCATCAAACTTCTCTTTCTGGTTACACTTGTGGCTCTTCTTGTTCTACTGGTTGCTCAGTTTGTGCTGTGCATTCATCGACAGAGACGTTTTGCTCATTATAGCGTAAGTTCACTTTTCTCTCCCTATATTTTTATGCACCGCTGATTGGGCTGCGGGATCGATCTTTGAGCAGCAGATCACGTTGACTTCAGTTTGTGATTTCATCAGCGTTTTATTTTAGCTTCTCCGCATGGACCTAAATGTCTAAGTTATCTTGTTTCACATTGACCCATATGTGCTTGTTGAGCTCACTGTCATGTCCTTTGGAGCTTCAGACACCAACAATTGCACCTTGGCTACAGCACGTCTGTTCCTACATATTTAGATTGCTGTTTTTTTCGAGTTCAGTCCTTTGTTATCCGCATGTTCATTTCATACGTCAGTCCATGCTTTTGTATTCATTACTCTGCTCCGAGTTTGCCTGCTTGGCGGTCGATACGCTCCATACAGTTTATTTGTTCATTGTCCTTTGGTCTCTACTGTGGCGAAACTTGTTTGATTGACTGCACCCGCTGCTATACATTTTGCAGTCTCAAAGTGCTACATGACTACCGTCCACTTGTTAGCTTTTTCATCCTTGACTAGTAGTTGTGCATATTTAACCAACACATCTCTGCAGTTGCACCAGCAACAATGGGCATTTGACTGCTTCAGTTAGCTCACTTATCACAAGCATACCATAGCTACCATTGTGAATATGTGACACCTACGACATGGGAAGGGAATTTCTGTTGCTCTTAACAATCGTTTTAGAGGACCACAACGGGGCATTAAAACGATGCTCCTCTGCTTTAGAGACCTGGAGTCATCGTCACCTGAAGAATTAATACTTTTGGACGATACCAGTTTGTCCACAACGATGAGATCCACCAGCGAACACTGAGCAGCAGAGGAACAGTTTACTTCGTTAGATCGACAATTAAGGCAGAATAGGTTGCATTTGCTTTGCCATATACCACGGATGGTCGCTTACCGTAAAGCCCATCGTTTTGTCCATCCATTGTTAGCTGACGTACTGTTCGAATGGGACGGCCATTGGCCTATCACGTCCTCACTTACTGCTCTGTTCGACCGGGGATCTCGGAGGACGTGGATTGTGCCCGGCATGTTTGCTACTGCTTGTTTACGCTGTGCTTGGTGCTGTGGCATAATGTAGCTTATGGCACGGAGCAGGGGGACACACAGAGAACCTGCCTCGTTGATATTTCCCCATCTTCACATTCTAACTAGGTATTTGTGGTTGTGCATTGTTGGCAATGTGTGCGCGTCCTAATCGTGTGTGTTTGCTCATCGCATTTAGGTTTTAACTCAGATGATCGCTTTCCTCCTCCGTTTCTACTTATTCGTTAGGTCGTTGTGGCTGTGAATTATTAGCCTACTCTACTGGTGTATTGCTGTTAATGATGATGTCTTTTGTATGAAACGTCTTTGAACTGTCCGATGTTTGTTTTTACCTCTTCACTTTTCCACTGCGTTCTGTTTTCTTTTAGTACGTCGCTTTGCCCACTTACGCGGAAGCTGTCGACATCAAGGTACCAATGGACACGAACAAGGAAGCCTATGACGACTTCACAAAGGGACTGAAGAACAGCGACGCGTAGTAGACAGGCTGCTTTTGTGTTTGCAGTTTGCTGGTTGTTTTCTCATCTTCCCATAAGCTTTTCGTTAACTTCACTTTTCTTTCACCTCACCTGTTCACTGAGGCTGTTGTGACCTTACTAACTTTTGCCTTAACTCGATTCAACCACATCGATTTAGCTTGCTCAGTTTGCCATTCTGCCATGTGTGATTTGACGAACAAATTCGAACTGCTCTGATGCGTTCTCATTTTGATTATTCTTTGTGCATCTTGTGATCCTATTAAACGTAGTTTGGCCAATTTCAACTTGTTCTGGGAACATCGAACTTCTTTTGACCTCCCTTTTTCACCATCCACTGCATTGCTACGTCGCTTGCAGCTCTCTAACGGGTCATCTGCGAACCGAAGTAATTTTCACACCTTCAACACCTGTTGCCCTCTTAGACAGCCTTATTTGTCAGCACTACATGATAGTACAGCATCTACTAAAATGTCAGTATTATTGGTTTTTAATGTGGCACCCGGGTAGCCGTTTTTCTCATTGATATGAAGACATGAACTCTCTTAGTTGCCACCTGACTGGTCCACTGATCCATACTGTGTGACGACTTAGGGTGCTTTGTAGCTTACTTCTATCACATTGATCTTACGAGCCAACTTTTTTATATCTCCGTGTTTGGAATTGAAAAAGTCCGTCGTGTAGAACTATTCCATCTTGTGGATCGTTTGTCCTATGCCACAGCTTTGCGATTCGCTTGTTACTTAGTTCGTCGAGTTGGATATAACGATTGCATGCATTTCGCCACCATGCGAGTTGGCATCGTCAGTACTGTGATGTACAGTGCGAAATCTTCCTACTTGCATCGTCCATCTGTGATCGACAGGGAAATGACTTTTGAAAGTAACGTTTTTGACTTACGCTTCGTGATGTTTTCCAATTTTCCCCTGCAATCGAAGCAAATAAATACATTAATAGTTTATTCTCGGCAGTGCGACGCATGCCTGTACAGACATGATCATGGTAATACAAACATGTATGCTCGGTAATTGCACAGAAGAATTACAGGTTAACCAGTAACATAGGTGTATGTATGCATGTAGTTGTTTGTATCTGCAAGTACTCATGTTGAGTGAGTTTGTTACTGTGATTCTGAATTTCTGGTCTTGCTCGCCGGATTCTCCATCGAAGAAAGATCAAAGGAAGACTTCGAATTGGATGACGTACAGGATGTGTGTAAGATCCTCCGAAAAGGCAAGTAGCAGTGACTTTATTTAGTGGCGAGTCACATCCGCCACGTCGCGGTGTTGTTAGGCAGACCTTTGTGGCTTTTATAGGGAGTACGCGTGCCAGGAGGAAACCTACCACATCCTGGAACACTGCCACTGAACCATTTTATGGAACCCAGCTGGCACCGCGAGGGGGTTGTTTTGCTAGCCAGCCAGTGGTCGCTCTGATTGTTTGTCGCGTCTCTTGTTTCGAGTTTCCTCTTTCGATTCACCGAAGATCTCTCTTTCTGAGTCCTTGCTGCCAACAACTTGTCGCATGGCTGTGAGTCCGCGAGTTCGCTGTCTGATTTCTCAGTCCTAATTCCACGCAAGCTGGCGATAATGATTGCACGTTGCAATTGCATCAGAAACCTGCCGTTTCTAAGTAGTGCTACTATCAGATGAAGTGGACACCTATGTGTCACTTGGGACTCTCCAACGACAGCCGCATCGCCACATGCTTCGGTTGGTCGTTGCATCACCGACAGCTAGTTTTACAACCCGCCTCCTGCCTCTGTTCAGTACCACTATTCATGACTTTCGGTGACCTATAATAGGAAGCGTGGTAAGTACTTTCTGTTGTTAGCCCAGTATCGTCTAGTCTATCAGGACGACCTATGTTCTAAGCTTTCACTTAGTTCATATGGGAACATCGAGTGCTAGTGCAATGTGATTTGAACAATCGTGTTCGGCACTGGAACATTTGCTTGTGGCAACGTCGGTCGTCAGATTCCCAGTCATTGGGTCTCGGAAGTATATCCAGAGGTACTGGTAATCAGAACAGGGGTCATTACAGCCGCTACGCACAATGCAACCAGGCGAACTAACTGACGGAAGTTTAATTACTCCCTGCTGGCTTACAATGAAGCTCGTCAAATCCAGAGCGCCAACGAGGAGGGGATTTTTGATGTTTTTTTTGAAAGATAGTTCATCGTAGTTAACTCGCAACTATCTTCCACGCACCCAGAATAGCCCTAAATGACAGAACTCTTTACTATACAGAACCGTTGGAGGAATCATGAGTTTCCAAATTTACTCGAACTCATTGTACAACCATGTCGTTTCATCGGGACCCGTCCGTAGTACACGTCCGCTGGCCCGACTAGAAACCGACCCCATGGCCTCTCGACGCCAGGGGACTCTCACTAAGCTATATATGGCGATGTCAAATCATTATGACTGATGAATTAATTAATATATAGCACGTCTCAACCTACTTTGCATAAACCGCGGGCGTCGAAAGGCCTTGGGCTCAGATCCTGAAAGGTCCGGGGATATGCACCCTCTAACGAGTCGCTGTGGGATGAAACAGCCCTCTAGGGCTTCCTCTAGTCTGTAAATGTTTGTCCGATTGTGATGAATAATCTGTAAATACAAACAAAAATATCTGACATTTGGGGTGTTACTTATGTGTGTCCGGCGGCAGGGATTGATGCATCGATGTGCAGACCACTGGCAACACTGCAGTCCCGATTTCCAATTACAAGATGCGATCTGACTGGGCAAGCTACTTACAGTGGCAATCAAGTTGGATAGCTACCTTCGAGTTGTTATACTAGTTCAGGTATCCTTTGGGCCACGGTCAGTTATCTTAAAGTATCCAAATGATTCGCTCTGTTGCTCCGGATTCTTTCTCCTCCACTGTTCAAAGATCACGGTGATTCACTCCGCAGAGCATTTTCTTCGCTTTTTCAGTCAGGTATGAATGAAACAATCTCCTCCAACCGACTTGGCGAATCGATCACATTATTATCTGAAAAGAGCTTTTGCAATGTTCGTAACAACTGCAAGGTTGCAATCCACTCACTCTCGGGTTGCACTAATGGCAGTTTCGATAGTGTAAAACCTGTTGATTTTGACATTTTCCCCTCCTTATTTTCTTCGCCTTTCTGATAAACAGAAATTCTGGTTGTGATAAGATAGGCACGTTTTCAACACAGTCAGGAATATTAAACCATATTTTCGCTCCGTGGCGACTGCTAATTGGATGTCGCATGCTCTGCATTTCGAACGTAATTCTGCTCATCGACCCTGATAGTGCGTTCTATGTTGATCGCTCCGTACTGTGCGAAATACTTACCAAACGAGGTGTCCGGATTAAACACTTGAGCCTCTTAATACAGCCTCAAGTCACACCAGAGTATGCGGCAAGTTTCTTTCATCTATTCCACAACAGACGGCATTCGTTTAACCTCCTGGATTTTTACTGTACATTTCGTCTGGTGTTTTCTTTTTAAGTTCGTGGTAGTGAGGTCTTCATTAGAGGAAACCTAGTGGATACCAGTTACGTAAACGACATCGTTTCACTATTTCGTAACTGCGACGCTACATAGTCTACTTTCGATACGCTCCTTAATCCGTTTCATTCGCTTCGCTTCATCATACAGTTACGTACTTTTACGTTGACGATGACGAACAGAAGATAGTTGATCAGTTAATCTATCTTTGCGGCTGCATTAGCAATCACTGCTGTTTGACTGATGAAGATTGACCCATAACTGCTGCTCATCTACATTATTTGTTACACTGGCCGGAATCTTCTTGTGGTTTTGATCAGATTGAGGACTATCCCTCCCTATAGCAGTGAGGCTTTATCGCTTTTGGTCTGCCGATCCTTAATTCTTTCGTGACTCTGACGATCGCTGCGTTAAGTGTGCCACTCACGTTAGGTTGCAACATGCTGGTCCTTCAGTTCATTTCTATTCGTCAACTTTTCTCTGTGCACTGTGGTGCGATTGATCCAGCGGCCTTTATTTTGACCACCAAGCTAGTAGTAATATCAATACTAATAACCAAAGTGGTGTACAGAAAACAAATTCGTGTGATAGCATATTTGTGGTCTTACAGTTTATGAAAGTACTCTATCTCGCTGGTGCGCTTTCTTGTCACACGATGACCAGCTGTTTGCTGTTGTGTTATGTTACAAAGAGTAAGTTTTATCCTTTCATCATCGTACATCATTTACATGGCCTTCTTGGTTGGCTAACTACAACTCATTCATGCAAACTGCTCTTGTACTGCTCTTGTCGCCACCGAATTGTCTTTGCCGATGAGGTTCACAAGCGAGTACTTAAGTAGTAGTGGTCAGCTGAGTTTGTTATTCGGATGGTTAAGCAGAAATGGTCTCATTGGCTTGGCCGCCCGTCACTTGTGATCGGTTATCAAGGGAGTCCCTGCTTATCCACTCAAAGTTTGTTGCCGTCATGTTCTAGCAGAGTGGCTATTAGCTTGACAGCGGTAAGTTTAGTCGCCGACCACTAGGGTGGATACTACCTGCCATCTCCTTGGTCTTTCCGACCGGTATTCCCGCATTCTGCTCTGTGTTCTACTGGGGATCTCGGAGGGCCCATTTTGTTATCGGCATGTTGGCTACCGCCTCCTAGGCACAGGCGTCCTGTGGCTGTCCCCATGGACGTCACAGTGACAGGCAAATCCGGATATGGACGCCGCCAAATCATATATTCAACACTATACCAATTACAATATAATTGGCTGTGTGCCGCAACACATAGGAAGAAAAAATAACATGAAAGGGAAAATGTTTTAGGGTGGAAGAGTTTCACAGCGGCCCCTTTGGGGAGTTTCCGTATGATCTCTCTATTGATGTAATTCACTGGCGGCAGAAGGCCGACTGTAAACGAAGTTTCATGCGAAAACAATAGGGAACCAATCCACTGTCAAAAACGC